AAAAATAATATTTCAATTGAAATTTTAAATGATGGTCATGATAAATTAAACTGACCAAAAAACTTGATTGCATTTGATGCGATGTTTTTCCAAAATTTTTCTTTTCTAAGTAGTCTGGCAAACTCAAATTGGTACCATCCATAGTCTAAGTTTACTTTTCTAGTCGATGATTTAGTTACATCGTCTGTTTCAGGCAGAATCAAGAATAATCAGATATTTATAGTTATTGAAAATGAGAGTAATTTTATATTCTATTGAAATATCTAGAACAATTAAATTGTCTTATAGGTTGAATATTAGCTTAAACTTGATTATGATCTAAATACAGAAGAACTCAAGAGAATTTTCGTCGCTTTTCCTTGTTTTTTTATAGTCATACTAAAAAATAACACTTATTGTACAATGAACATCAATATCTTGATTATGATGAAAAAAAAAAGTTCATAATAACATGTAGGAATGCAACGATTTCATTGCTTACAATTAATTTGATATTCGCCGGAATAGATATTTAAAAAAAAATTGTTCTTGCTCGTAAAACGTCTTTCGTTAGTGAAAAAATCAAGTGGACAGTTTCCCGCAATGCCACGCTACCCAGTAACTAATAAAATATCTACCCGTAACTAATTCTTATCAATTCTAAGAATTAGAATGGTTATATACTTAGGTGGGTGTGGGTGGGGTGGGAGTCTGGGTGGGGTGTGGGGTGTGGGTGTGGGTGTGGTGTGAGTATGGGTGTGTGGTGTGGGTGGGGTGTGGGGTTTGGGTGTGGGTGTGGGTGTGAGGTGCAGGTGTGAGTGTGGGTGTGAGGTGCAGGTGTGGGTGTGGGTGTGGGTGTTAGTGTTATTTTCATCTACACCCACACTCCACACCCACACACCCACACCCGCACTCACCCCACACCCCCACATCCACACCCACCCACATAATGAAATCCTACGAAAACCCAGAGTTGGAAAATGGTCGGTGTGCATGGTATTCGAACCCGATGGGATCCTGTAGGAACATGATGAAATCCGACGAAAGCCTACTGTAGGAATTTGTCGGTGTCCGTGGTATTGGAGCCCCGCAGGATCCTGTCGGAACATGATGAAATCTGATTGGATTCCGATAAAAATCCTGTAGGATTCTGACCTTTGGGAATCCGACTGAATCCACCTATTGGAAAGGTAATGGTTTAGCTGGTGTTCCGCTGGTAACATTAAAGCTGGTGTTCCCTCTCATTAAAAGTGTTCCACTATGCAACTTTAAAGTTACATAGTGGAACACTTTTGATGAGGGGGAACACCAGCTTTAATGTTACCAGTGGAACACCAGCTAAACCATTACCGTTATCAATCTGTAACAATCACAGTCATTTTAGAGAAAAGGCTAACCTTCTTTCACAGAAATAATCACAGATAACTGCAAGCAACTAAATAGATATACTATCATTCTCTTAACGAATCTGAAAAGAAGGATTTAGGTAGAACTTTTTATCGCCGTACAGTAAATATTCTTTATATAAATACTCATGAACTTGCTGATGAGCATTTAGCGTAATTTACGACTAAAAGTGGACAAATGAATCATTTTACTTGCTTAAGAAATTTCTAGACTAATCTAGACTTAAGAATAGAATAATCTATGGTGAATCTCAGAACGATCTGCCCTGGAATGTAAAATAGTTAATCCGTTTTCTTTGGCTATAAATTATCTGTTAATAGAAGAATAATAAACCGTTTTTACATAATGGTAAAATAAACTAGCTTCAGACATATGATAATAATCCCTATTTTCTAATTGTAGAATAATCTACGCTCATGTATAGAATAATGAGACCTTTTCTTCTATTGTCGCAGAATAATAGACCACTATACTCCTGTAAACGTAGAATAACAAATTCTTTTTTCATCATTGCAGAATAATTTACCTCTCTGCGAGGAATAGAAGCCCTTGTGTCCACAGTGATAGAATGATCTACCTTTATATGTAAAATGATAGAACTTTCTTCAGTAATCGTAGAATAATCTACCCTTTTGTGTGGAGTAATAAACCTTTGTATCCATAATGCTAGAATGATCTACCCACATACATAGAAAGATGAACCTTTCTTCTGTAATCGCAGAAACATCTACATTTATGCATAGTACAGTAAACCCTTCTCTTCATAACCGTAGAATAATGTATCTTTCTACGTGGAATGGTAAACCAATGTGTCCACAATGGTAGAAGGATATACCCTTAGGCGTAGAATGATAAACCCTATTATGTATAATGGTAGAATGATCTAACCTCAGACATAGAATGATGAACCCTTTCATGTGTAATTGTAGAAGAATCTACCATTAGACGTACAATGATGAATTCTTTTTTTCTAATTGTAGAGTAATCTACGCCTATGTGCAGCTTAATAAACCCTTCTCTTCAAAATTCTAGAATAGTCTACCCTTCTGAATGCAATAATATACCCTTGCATCTATAATAGTAGAATGATCTATCCTTAGACGAAGAATGATCTACTGTTAGACGTAGGATGATAAACCCTTATTCTGCAATCGCAGAACAATCTACCCTTATGCGCAGCAAAATAAACCCTTCTCTTCATGATTCTAGAAAAGTGTACTATTCTGCGTGCAATAATAAACCCTTCTTTCAATAATGGTAGAATGATCTACCCTTAGGCGTAGAATGATAAACCCACTTCTTAAAACCGCCGAGTGGTCTACCCTTCTGTTGTAATCGTTGGATAATCTACCCTTGCGCATAGAATAATAAACTCTTTTGTGGTCCTCGTAGAATGATCTACCCTGGTGCGTGCAACAACATACAATTTTAATGAAAACGTAGAATAATATACCTTTGAGGATAGAATAATAAATTCTATTGATAAAAACTTTGACTGATATAGCCTCAACTACGCATCATATACCCTCATTGTTATAAACCCTTTCGTTCATAAATCCTTAAAGGGTATATGAAGTGGTTATAAACCCTTGAAGGGTTTATGGAATCGTTTTTCAAGTCAAAGAGTTGATTATTCTACTAATTTTTTTTTTCAGTGTAGGATCTACGAATATCTGAGCTTCCTAAAGCTTGGATAGCAGATTAGAACCAATGTGAAATCTGGCTTAAGTACCTTATTTTGGATGCTCTATCCAATGGTGAAGTCAAAACTCCTGAAAAAATTATGCGTCGAGGTTTTTGAGGGTTTTCTGGAAAACCTTTCCAAGATCCCAACCGATTCAATAAAAACTAACTTCAGCTTCGTGTTCAGCACATCAAATAACCTTTGTACACAGTTCTTCGGCGATTCAAATATTTCTAATACCTCGAATCAGGACATACAAATCTATAACTAGCCTTATACATAATATAACTAAATTGAAAAGAATGAAGACTTTAAAAGATTATCTATTCAATATTTCGAGAAGGTTTAAAATGTTTGAAGTAGATTATTTTACATGCTGAACACGATGGTGAAGTTAGTTTTTATTAAATGGTCTGGGATCTTGGAAAAGTTTTCTGGACAACCCTCAAAAATCCTCGACGCACAATTTTTTTGGAACTTTTAAATTCACCATTGGATGGAGCATCGAAAATTAGGTATTCAATTCAGATTTCACATTGGTTCCAATTTGCTATCAAAACATTTGGAAACCTCAATCTCTAAGGAAATCAGAGAAAAGCAGATTTTTGACCAGTATTTCTAAGTTTTGTAATCGATGATGCTCTGAAGGATATTTTATAGTTCATATTCGATAAGATCATGTTGTTTTAGCTATAATGGATGTTTTTTCATCTGGTTACAATAAAAAATGAAGAAGAGACAGAGCCAAAAGCTGGGGTATAGAGCCATACGAGCGACTTAAAAAGAGCTGGGTTTTTATTTATTGAAAAGCTCTGTGCACTTAATATATTGATATTCATAATCAGCACACATAATTCTACCAATAAATACGTATTTAATCAGAATCAAAAATAAAAAGTTTTCCAGAGATCCCTGTGGGGGACCGCAGCTCCCAAAAATCTTTTGGTGAGCTATACAAGAAAAGACCTGTGGAATATCAGCAGGAGCCATGTCTTACTTCAAATCGATAAAAAGAAGTTAATTTCGTTGGGGGCAAAAAAATGGCCTTATCCACCCTCGTCCTTTGCGAAACAATAATCCGTTTAAATTCTCTAAACTTGTCCAAACTAACAATATTGATAATGATAAGGGTCGATATTAAAATATTCACCCTACTTTGGGCATAACATAAATTTATATCAAACTCTTATTTTCAACGGTATTTGTGTTTACAACTGTTACGTATCAAACTGGTAGATACAAAAGCCATTCTTGCATCATTTATAGAGTAGCTAAAAGGATCTAATTTCATTTTATTAACTCCATTATTCAAACATTTCCAGATGGATATGATGGTGTTTTCCACATTCAAGATTTACCGGTAACTAGAAATCTAACAATTAGTTTAACTGGTAATTAGATACATTTTTTGACTGTACTTTTCAGAGGTGCTAAACAAAAACAGTTTTTTTTGTTAAATTGCTGATATTGTAGAAAAATTTGTAGATGTATTTGATAATTCGTCTAAATCTTAATTCTGTTTTGTCTTGAAAATATGCTGGAGTCATCTTAAAATTCTTTTAAACATTATCTAAATCAAAATTTTAAATTTTTTTACACTTTTTTTGATTAACTATCCAATGTATCCAAATGCCTTTTTGTCACTTCGTGGCATTACTCCAAAATGAAATAGAATAATAAAACATAAGAGGTAACTCTTAATTATTTGATGATGGTTTCTTTTTATAGTAGAAAATAGCTGACTAAAACGAAATTTATGATGAATTTCAATATGAATTCTATCATTATTTTAACTCTGAATTGTGTAATATGATAAATATTTGATTCTAGCCTTTGCAGTTTAGGAAGATTTTTCCCCACTATGGAAACCTAATTAGTTGAAAATTATGTGAAAGTAGCGAAGTTTTTCTACGAGTTGAGATAAATAAAATGATGATGAAGTTTTCGAATAACCCAATGTGCTACGATAAAACATCTTTCTCTTATATAAGAAGTACCTACACCTTTAAACTACATTTTTCTTTCTATTCTTGCCAAAATTCATCAGAGTATAGATAATAAAATTTTGTGTTCCTATAAATAGTTTTTGGTCAATCGTGTACAGACGCAGTCTCATGTAAAATCACATTCAGACATGTCAAAACAGTTTTTATTACCTGCATACAAACGCGGTTCCATACAAACGCTCTCAGTTGCGGCTCGGAAGTCCATCTGACTGCGTCTTTACGCGTTCTATCTTAAACAGCATCCAGACGCGTCTGAAATTTTTAATAAAATGCGTTTTCATGCAGTCTCGTCAAAAACCGCGTCCAGCCGCGATTCAAAATCTCTTATGATCGCGTCTAGATGCTTTTTTATTTGTGGTTGCGTCCAGACGCGAATAGAAATCAATTGTAACCGCGTCTCAAGGCGTTTTACTTTACAATCGCGTCCAGACGCGTTTGAAAATTTTCTTCAATTGCGGATACATGCGTTTGTAAACGAAAACGCGTTCAGACGCGGTAAAAATCGATTTTCACCGCGTCTCAACGCGGGTTTGAAACAAAACTGCGATTAGACGCGTATATTCTGCGTCTGGTGTTTACATGGGATATGATAATCCTTATGTTACAGTTAACGAACTTGAAGCATAATGTGGTCTAAGCTATGGCACCATCAAATATTATTATTTCTAATCATTTGCAATTGAAAAAAGTTACTGCAAGTTATGTTTCCAAACATCTGACGAACTTTCGAAAGGCCGAACGAGTACGAATATATCAAGGAAACTTCTTTAAATTTGAACAAGATGTTTGGAGAGTATGCGATGTAGGAATAGGCTATGAATTACGGTTTTCTCACGAGCAGATAGATCGAATATTATCAAATATTGCTTGGTTAGCACGTGAAGATCCTTCTCCAACAATGGTTTCACGTATTCATTTTGTTCCAAAAATCCTCCTGTGTATTTTTTTTTCCAACTCGACCAGTAATGGATGAAATTAGAAAGCTACGATCTTCCTTAGGCATCAATCGATTAAATTTTAGTATAATAATGAAAGACCACATATGCATGCAGATGTAGTCAATTATCTTCAATCGGAAGGCGTATCAATGATGTCATATCCACCTGATTCTCTAGATCTGACTCCATGCGATTTTTGATTGTTTCATTTAATCGAACAAAATCTAGATGATCACGAAGATTCAGAGTCGTTGCATGAAACTATAATCAAATTTATTAAGTCGTTGAGAAAAGAAGAGTATAAAAGAAACTTTTGATAAGTGGATTCAAGGAATGCATTTGTGTATAAACAATCGAGGTGATTATTTTAAACAATAGGTTTAATAAAAACGTGATAAACTTGGTTCAAAAAAAATATTTCTTTTTTGTCAAACATTCATCGTTTTTGCTGTGTTTCTAATATTATGTATTGTTTGAAGATTTAAGAAATATCGTAGAATTATAGAGCTTGACTTGGAATATCAGAATATATAGAGAAAAAATTTCCTAAAAGCTTCTGTAAAATATTACAGGATCGGTACCACTATTTTTGGTATGCCTTAAGTAGCTTGTAGAAATATTCATAGAAAATTAATAACGTTTCTTCCCTGGAATAAAATTATCTTTTCGAGCTGCATACGGATATTTCAACATAGTAGATAATCTACTGACATTATCTGAGACAAATTTTTCTCTAAAAATGAATTATCAATCTGATGATTTCATCAAATAAAAGTGGTATTTTCTGACATTATGTCAATATACTACGTAATTAGTCGAAAATTTATTGTTTCTCTGAAGGTTATCGCAACGATAAAAGATAATAAATCATTGACCTTTATCAAAGTAAAATAGTAAATCCCCCATGCATCGCTCTTCTTTCTTTTCTCTCGTATAAATGATGGTATCCTGCAGTATCCTATAGACATTAGATAGTTTATCAAGTCACATCTCCTTCGATGATGAAAGTTATCTTACTTCTATATGTATTCGTTCTACATAACCTAAATACTAATGGCTTATTACACAAAACAAATACTGAAATAACCACTACTGATCATCATGTTCTATCAACTACTAAAATATATTCAAATATTGCTGAAATTATCGAACCACTTGGTAAATTACCAATTGAATTTTCATATGAAGATTGGAGTGATATTCATTCTGATTCAATAAAACTTGTTGGTGCTAATGTGAATGTAACACAACAGTCAATTACTGCAAAGAAAAAATCACTTAACAATGCTCAAGTTTATGTTCGTACACCGTCATCATCAAATAGTCAAACAAAATTTGTTAAAGCAACAATGATTGACGAAACACGAAATTTAGTGAAACTTATTGATAAACATATTAGCGAAGAACCAATCTTTTTTATTGCCCAATCAGACTATATTATTTATGAGAATGAGCCACCTCAAACAAAATATTACGTTAATTTTTCATATGATACAACTGATGCAGTTTATTTAAGTTATCTTCGAAGAAATCTCAACTGGAAAACTCGTTATCAATTGAATCTTTTTGAAGAATCAAAATCTGCAACTCTAATCGCTCTAGCTGATATTCGAAATGATGGAAAATCAAGAATTGATATTAAATCTGCAGAACTTTTAAGTAATGATTTCAATATACTGACGTCTCAATCGAGATTAGAGGATCCTCGCCGTCTTACATTTGACGGATCGTCACATCGTACTCAAGAACATGAACCAGATCTGACGTACAAAGTTGTGAATCCACCCATTGATCAAGGAGAAGATTTATCCGGTTTATATGTATTTTCTATCAATCAATCATTTTCAATTGATACTAAAACAAATTATCTTATAACAATGTTTCATATACCAGTGAATATAGAACGATATGCTTCGATTTCGAAACATTTCTCTACTCCTGGATATATCCATGGTAAAGCTGAACGTGCATATCGTCTTACATCTGATCGTTTTCTTCCATATGGTAATTATATTATACGTGAATTTGATTGTCTTGTTGGTGAAACATTATTACCAAATATAGGTGCTAAACAGAAACATGAGTTTTCAATTGGTCAACATAATGATATAATTTACAAAGAAAATTCAATACTAATCTCTTTGCCTAATTCGAATATAACAACTGAATATCAAAAGGAGCTGAAAATAAAGACACCATTAATATATGAGTTTAATTTATTCTTGAAAAATTTCAAGATAAATCGTCCTCTTAAAATTGAATATCAAAAACATTTTGATGGTGCTTTGATTAAGTTACTTACCACAAGTGCTAATCTAACACTTGAAAACACAACGATTAAATATACAACAATAATACCAGCAAATAATGAAAAAATATTAGTTTATAAAGTTGAAATAACCAAATAATTGAACACATTATATTCGATCTTATCTATTTTGCTTGTTTTTTTATTCATTGTAGATTCTGCTTTGTAGCTGATCAAGTTGATTGATTAAAATAACATGAATAATTATAAAAAATAAAAGGTTATTAGTTATAAAATGCAATATTTACATATCTATTTCTTGTATAACCCGTGTATTTCGAATAAGCATTTAGGTTGAAATTTACAATGATAGAAACAAAAGACGGATTTAAATATTGATGAAGAGATCCACATTCTCTTCACTGAGCACAAAACGTTAATTAATAAAAAATAATAAACAAAAAAAAAAACTCTTGATTCTTATTTGTTTAAATATTTGTTTAAAAGAAGAGCAAGTGTATAGATTTCAACGTTGATGATCATATCAATAATGAAAAGTTAAACGTCTGAAGTCAAACGTTATAATTTAAAGTAAATATTCACTTAGCTTATTTCGTTTGTATTTATTTTTGTTGTTGATTTTTTAATATACCATCGATAAGCAGCTAACGATTGACCAACAATTAAGCGTAAAATGTATGTTAAACCTAAATATAAATTAATCGAATTCAGATAAAATATTTTAGTTTTTATTTTTTCTTACCTCCATACAATCCTAAAATGGTTGTTAACATAAAAATAGGATTATTTTTATTAGATAATATATATTGACATTCTAATGGTTTACATATTTCAAAATAATTTGTGTAATTACTTATATTTGTCCATACTTCTACAAATAATTGATTGTTTAATGTTTCTAATGAAATATTTTTGAATTTTGATAAACGAAATCCATCATATGGAAAACAACCAATATTAATATCATTTGTTAATTGTTCTCTACAATTTGATGATATAGCACAACTACAATTTGATAATGAAAAACGTCGTGGATATGTTTTCATAATATAATTTTCATTTTCATCTGTAAAATTAATGTGCCAATTACTTGAAAAAAAATGTAACAATTGATTAACACTAAAAGATTTAACTATAAATGAAAGTGTACGACGATAATCAGCTTGTATTCGAGATATATATGATGAAAGTGTTGATTGTACTTGAATATCAAATGAAGAACGAGTTAATGTTTCGACACTTACTAGTTCATGACTACCAAAAACTCGTTTAGCATTTTGAACAAAACGATTAGATGAATTACAAAGTAAAGATAATAAACGATAATGAGTACCTAATGCTAATAGAGTTGTATCATTTGTATTGAAGAATTTACTTCTATATAATGGAGAAACATATTCACTTGAACAGATTGAATGATATTTTGGTGTTACAGATAAAAATTTAAAATAAGGAACAGCTGCTTTTGAACAAGGACACGAAAGACTTGAAAGATTTTTCTGATAAAGATCGTTGATCATATCTATTGTTGGAAATGTTTTTTTAATATATACTTTTTCATTACTCAATGGACCAGAATAAATAAGAGCAGCAATTAAACATAATATAAATAAAAATATATAAATACGAGTAGCTCGAATTTCTTGATCTAGATATTGTTTTTCTGATGATGGTGGTTCGCTCACAAATAAATTTACTGATAAGACTCTTTTAAATATATTAGTAAAGCAACAATGAGTTTCTTTTGATGAAGAAGATACTGCATCCATTGTTGTGTCTAAAATAGAAAAAAAAAATTTTTTTTAAGGTTTTTTCAAATCTTGTTCATAAGAATAATTCGCATTTATTTTTATTATGAATAGTTATTAAAACGTTGTAGACTCATAGTTTTTATGAACTCGAAATCAGATTCAAACCTGACAAATTTTGTGCATCGAAAGGATGTGGGCTGGTATGACCATTTTCTGTCCCACAATTTTTTTGAATTTTATCTATCGGAATAGTATCAGAGGGTGACTAGGAATGTGTTTCATGACTTAGTTTCGCACCATTTCGGAGTTACGTTTTTGGACCTCCCTACTCCCCTTCAGGATTCGAAAAAATGTTTTTTTTCTCAAATATCCCTAGAACCATATCATTTATATGCAGTTTTGCACGCTGATTACGAATATCGTATTTGTATTTCCATTTTAATTAAGTTTTCTGCGCAAAAATTGCATTTTATTGTAAAATGGCCTCAAGGGACCTTTTTCCGTATCTTCATCTGTGTATACATAAAAACGTTGTTTCAAAGTTCCAGAACGTTTCCAAATATGCAAATATATGTATCCTATTTTTTTCCAGTCGATTTCATATTTAAATAAATCGATAAATGATCGAAACTTGTCATACATGAGGTCACATATGATAGAAGACTGCATTTCACAACATGGTACAGCATTTTAACATCAGCAAATGGTCGAGTGTCAAATAGCTGTATGCACCATTCGATGCAGCTTTTTATGCTGATTCCGAATATGATTTCAAAATTCAGAAAAAATATGTACTAAATGCTAAAAATGGCTAAAAACTTAACGACATATGGATTTTGGACCTGTATTTGCTCAACTTCGACCCAAAAAATACGCATGTTTTCTTTGATCGACGGTCTTTTATTGATGTTTTGAGTTTTTTGAAGCAGAAATAGTTAAGCTTTTAAAAAACCTAATACTTCACTAGGTCCATCGAAAATTTCTGGGGCACTTAGTAACAAGCAGAGGTCCAACCCGGCCATGTTTTCCAGGCCTATACGGCCTGTCAAGGCCTGGCAAGTTTTTCAAGCGAATACGATAATGATAAAATACTGGAAACGAGATGTGCAAATAGGGCACTAAGGCTACTGCTCAACCCGAGCCTGGCCTGCCTGTTATAGGCAACAGCCGCGATTTTCAGATCGATGAAAGTCAGAGGCTCACGCAATTATGGGCCTGTTGGCCTGTCTGGGCCTGTCACTTTCACTATTCTCAAAACTATGAGTGTTACTTATAACAGGCAGATCCAGCTCGGGTTGAATAGTAACCTTAGTGCCCTATTTGCACATCTCGTTTCCAGTCTTTTATCATTATCATATTCGCTTGAAAAACTTGCCAGGCCTTGACAGGCCGTACAGGCCTGAAAAACATGGCCTGGTTGGACCTCTGGTAACAAGAGCAAATTTTTGAACCGTAATTAACTACAAAACAAAAAAACATTTGAGCTGAAATTTGTCTCATGTTCAAGTTAAGCAAAAATCTTTTCATCCATTTGAAATTTGGAAAACAGTCTACCAATGACCGATAATTTCTTCTGTGTTACTTATTAGATTCTCAGACATAACAAAATATAAATTTTTAGATCTGTGTCTGGACGAATCTTCAGCTTTATATTAATGAATAGAAATGTGATCGTCTATTACCCAGCACAAAAATATCGTTTCAAAACAAAAGAAAAAAATTCTCGAAAATCTCCGTACTCTCCCTACGGAAACTTACTGAAAAAAAAACTTTTTTCATTTTGGAAAAGTATTTTTATGTCATACAATGGGCTATTTAATTTCAGTCTGAATTTATCAAATAAAAATAATACTTTATTTCAAACTGAAACGTGAGTCTAGGAGTGAGGGGGGGGGGGTGACTGAGGGTGTGGGTGTGGGTCTGGGACCCACACACACACTCACACCCATGGTGTGGGTGTTGGCGCGTGAGTGAGGGTGAGGCTGTGCTTGTGGTTTTGTGTACTATAGGCTTTAGTTCCCTGAAAAGGGACTAAGGGGGGACTAAGCTTTTTGTGGGGGGGACTAATGGGGACTTTGCAGGACTAGGGGGGACTAAGGGTTTTTAGTGAGACTACGTAGTATTAAGCGAGAAAAGTTTGATTCGGAAGAAATTGGTGTGGTTTTTTTGATTTTAGAATTCAGTTTGAAATAAAAATGCCCATAGACTCTTTTATGTAGACCGATAGAGAGTCATATAATGATTTATAGTAGATAGAATTTGTTTTGTGTATTCAAAATCTTTGATTATTTCTTTAAATGAACTTGAATGCGTGTCCTATAGAAAAGGATCCTTATTTTTTTCGATTTTCCAATAAGTCCTGAAAGACTATTCTTTAGTGTCCCATGCAAAATTTTGCATAACTCTCTAGCACTCAGTGAGCGCTTTAAATCCCGAAGAGTCCGACTCTTATCCAGATGATTTTGCTCTGGATCGAACTCACATAAAATCATCATTTTCTTCAAAAACGCAGTTTTATCGACGAATGATTGAAACTAGTTAGAAAGCTGAAATATTCAGGCAAATAAATATTATATAAGATCTAACTATAACCGAAATTTCAGCTCTCTAGATTGATCCTTATTTGAAAAGTGTAAGTGCACAAAACATTTAAAAATGACAGTTTTGTGATGTACTTTTTGGTAATATGATTAATTCCGTAATTATTCATCAATTCAAGTGAGTTATTTTCTGGTAGCACAAAGTTATGATATCTATTAACGATAAAAATTTCAAGTAAAATACATGTCTTCTTCATGAGATATGGATGTCATAAAAAAATGTACTTTTTTGGTAAGGATGTTTTCAGAAAAATTTAAATATCTTAGGAACGGAAGAATATTTTTTAAAATGGCTTACGTCGAAATTGCTAGAATTCTTGCTTCTACAATATATATAAAGTTAAGCAAAATCTGATATCCTCGATTGAGCAGAATTGATCGTGACTTATGCGAATTGGCTCTTATGTAAAATATCTTTTAATCAACTTCTTAAAACTTCTTTTGAATATTAATTAAAATTTATCGTGTTGTTCAATGATCTGTTTTATTCTAATAAATGGAATAAAATAATAATTATCTTACTCGTTGTAATTTCATTGGAATTATTTGATTGTCTCGAGGTTTTTCGTTTTGACCATTGCTTTATAATTATCTTAACAAATGGCGGTAAAATGATTTCTAAAATAACAGATAATCCTCCATAAAATCCAAGCATAGTAGTTAACATATAAGCAATATCAAAACGTTTTTCTATCGTGTAAACACATTGTGAAGGTGCACAACGTGTATAATATGATGTATAATTACTTGAATTAATCCAATCTTCAACAAATAATTGTAAAAAAATTTCATTTATTGTTGTATTTGGATAAAAACGACTATTTTCATAACGAAGTGGTTCAATTTGAATAGCACGTTTATCTAATGGTCGAACTAAACCAACAATATCAAAATCATAATTATCAATAAGAAGTTTGATACATTTTTTCTGATAAAAACATTCTAATGTAGATAAAAGAAGAGTATCAATAGCATAACAAGCAAGAACTAAACCAGGTATTGTTATATTAGGTTTATTACGAACATTATCTGTTTGAAAATAGAAACCAGCAGGACGAGTACATTGATTAGATTCAATACATGAGCATGAATTTGTATAAAAGTCTCTTGATCGAAAATGAAATGACCATTGTGATGTATCATTATTATATATAGATAAAGGTCCAAGTTTTGTCCATGTTTCATCTGCTAATTGATTTGTATCAATTGATGATCGAATTAATTCAATTAAATTAACAAAAGAAGCTATTGTTTGCTGTTGAAAACGTATTAAACGTTTATTAATTTGATGATTAAATTGATCAGATGATAAGGCATTTATTGTAATTAATCGATTTACTCGAAATACTCGTAATGCACTTTCAATAGTTTCATTTGACATTTCACATAATTTATTTAATAAATTAAAAAATGATTTTCCAGTTATTCGAAAATCAGTTGATATAAAAAGCGTATTATTTGTATCAATTTCTACACGACCAAAATAAGATAACCAATAATCTTTAAGATATTCACTTGAGCATATTGAATGATAACGAGGATAAAGTGGCATTATTCGAGAATATGACATTGAAAAATGTGAACATGGACAATTTAATGTTGATGAATATTTTGAATTTAATTTTTCAAACTGTGAAAGAGAAGGCCATTCAATAGTATATGTTTGACTACGTTTTAATATTAATGTATAACAACCAAGTATGATTAAACCGATAATTACAAAGAAAATATAAAAACGAGTGGCAATAATACCAATACGTTCGTCATCCGAATTATTTTTATAGTCAGATGAAAATAAATTAAAATTATGAATTGTTCGATGAACATAACTGCTTATTTCTAAAATGAAAACATATTTTTATTTTATTTTTCTTCAATTTTCTATAATGAAAAACTAAATATTAAAATATCAGTTTGATAAAATGACATTAATTCCATCGTTTTTTTTTTGTTTGACATATAAAATTATGCTATTAGAATCATATGTTTACATTACCCTAGAGAAAGCACTGAGTTCAGGGTACTCATGTACTGAGAAAGCTCTAGCAGGATACCCAGTATGGATACTTTGAAAATTCTCAGTAATTTTACTGATGTATGTACTGTTTGGGGTACCCGTAAAAGTACATTCACTGAATAAGTACCTGCATGGATACACAAGTCTGTAACTTTACTGAGGAAAGCTCGACAGAGTATCCTAAATTTGTCGCGTTCTGTGTGGTGACTATTCATTCACCGTTTTCTTTTTTATGTAGGACTCTATATAAACAACTCGATAAATCATAAGAAAATAATCAATTTTCATACTAGTTTTTTCTAAATTATTTCTTGACTATTTCTTAGTCGAGGAAATGCCGAGCTTAGTCGTAAATTAAAACCGGACCACCCTGAACTGGTCTACGACCAACTCAAATCGGGCCACATCCCGGTATTGTACCTGCTAAATTTTCGGAATTGAAAAGATCAAATTGAATAAAATCGAAACAAATGTAGTAAATTGCTTCGAGAGACGAAAGCTAAAAAAGTGAAAGATCAGTTTCGATCCTGAGCATACTGAAAATTCGGTAACAGGATACCTAGAAATACTATACAAAAGTACCCAATTGAGTACCTTCAAGTACCAAGTTGCTGCAAATTACTTTGGTACCCAAAAGTTCCTGTGACATACCGATAACAGGATACTTTTTCGGACACCCTTAACTCAGTACCTTCTCTAGGGCATCGTAATGACTTTTTATTCTGTAGCATAGCATGTGTGTGTATTCAATAAATGATTAGATAATTAACCTTTATTAATTGGTTTTGGTGCCATTCTTAAAATTTCACGTTCTATAGCTGTTGGTTCTGCAGTTGTATGTGATTGTATTTGTTGTTTTTTCAATATAATTCGTTTCCAAATTTTTATAAACAATGGTGTAATTAATTGCCAAGCTAGAACAAGACCACCGAAAGCACTAACACTCATTGTAAGAATTTTACTAAGATGAAATCGAGTTTGATAACTATAGGAAAGAGATTGAGGTGCACAAGCAGCATAATAATTTTCAAAACTCGATTGATTTCCCCAAGATTCAACAAATAAAGATTCATTAAATATTGACTCAATTGTTGAATTCAATGGAAATCGTGATAATGATGCATTTAAAGCTTTGAATGGTCCAGAAAATTTTGGTTGAAGTGATATCGCATTTACACATGATTGATTATATAAACATTCAAGAGTTGATTGACGCATTGAATCAAGAGGAATACATCCAGCCATTAAGCCAGGAATCTAAATTCATATCAAACCTTTACAAAAAATCGTTTGTTTTTCTTTAATTTGAACTTGTTATGAGAATGGATGAATACTCAACATGTGCTTCATCAACTGTAAAGTTCGATGATAACTAGTTAATATATACTAATTATTTGCATAAATAATAAAAAATAAATGGCTCTACGGAACTTGCACACGGCGAAACTGAACCACTGCAAGATGCGCATGTACAACTTGTCCATGATATGAAAATTCATAATGATTATTATTGATATTCCGAAAGTCAGTAACAATAGAAACAGATAACAGGAACTCAGGCCAAACGAGCACAATCAGAAATAGTCGTACACGGAGAAGTACGACTTACATGAGACCCTATTACGACCGTATACAGGAAAAAATACGCTCATTTACTGTGTTTGTATACTGAAGTCGTATACGATCTCCATTTGGTTCCGTTTTTCTCCATATACAATCTTATCTCTTCGTGACCCTCTACGGAGATATACGATCGTAATACAGCCTCATGTATTACGGAGAAATAGGATCGTATTGTGATCGTATACGTCGTTTACGATCGCATATAGCCTTCGTATTTATCAACTTGGAAATATTAAAATAAGGGACTAATTGATCTCTTTATCAAATACTTTTAAAAAAATAATCAGAAAATGTTTTTTCACTCATCTGAAACTGTATCAATACGAAAGAAAGTATCGTTTCGTTAGTTGTAAAGCTGAAGGAATAGTAGAAAAATCCACATTATTTGGTACTTGTGGTAAACCAATTTTTTAAAATGTTGTAAAATTGTTCTTTTAATATGAGTGAATGGTGGCAATCGTACACATGTTCAACCAGGTAATTTTGATATTCATGATTTTACAAAATGGTATGTAAAACAAAGAAACAAGGAGTCTGGTTTACACATCTCAGTGGAAAATATTCCTAAAAACAACGGTTGAGAATGCTTTCCAAAAATATTGGAAGCTCTCTTTTAAGAAAAGAAAACGTTCCGAAAAAAAGCAGAAAGCATTCCAAAATGGAATGGTCTACAATGGATTCTGTCACTTTTGAAACGCTTTACATCACCTTTGGAATGCTTTCTCTTCTTGACAGAAGGTAACTTTCATGATCATAGGGCTGATCATCAATCGATGAATCTTTAATTCATCAGAAGAATATTTCAGGAATAACTCGCCGAGTTCGATCGAATGACATGCTCCAATTTGTTGTCACTCAAAAAATTATTAAAATCATGTTTTTTTTCTAAGTCAGACTTAGTATCCTCAAAGAACAACTAACTGAAGGTTTCACCATTTCTCATATCATTTTCAACCTGCTTTGCTTCAGATCTTTGATTTTTGAATTGAAATTTGCTTTGATTCCACAAGAAAGTATTCATCTTTCAGAAGAATTTATTCTTTTAAGGCTTCTCTAGAAAATGTTAAAGAAAATGATCTCATTTCGATGAAGTATTTTCTGTATCGTTTTGAAAGAGAATGAACTAGAATGGGTTCTATTAGTTTAAGAATGGTTCGGACTGTTTTTCTTCAAATAGAGAATAATTTTTTAATAGAAAAGAAAGCATCCCGTCTTATTGTAGAACAACGAAGAATGATTCAGACTAAGAATATTTTTTCTTAAACATGAACGCATTCACTAGCAAAAGGAGCGCATTCTTTATATAGAAAAAATGTTCCCATATTTGTATGAAACCGTTCTGTTCCGTTTCTTTTCAAAATATTTTTCACTGGAATTTCAAAGATAAATAAACAGAAATAGGTTCTGTTCTTATTCACATTCTAATTAATTCTTACTTAGAGCTCTATCTGCATATCACAGAGGTGATACTTCGAGGTTTTCTGAAATGGAGAACCTAAAACTACTTCACTTGCCTCGAAGTCCCATTGGCTGAGCACTGACCAATAGAAATTAAGTTGTAGGAAAAGCAACTTTCTTAGGATAACTCAAGCCGAAGAGTCCAAATTTGAGCTGTATTCACCTTAAAATCCTATTGGTTGAGTAGTAGTTAATAGAATTCAAGTGTTTATAGAAAAGATATGCCAGGCTAATTTTTATACTCAGACATTCTAGAATAACCGATTTATCTCATTAAGTTTTTAAAGTATACATAACTTGCGGATTTAAATTCGAGATTTCCACATTTATTTATTGCTAAAAAGAGCTTTTGCTTTTAAATATAAATTAACCTGAAATTGAGCTGGTAGATGGTTTTTAGCTGGTTTTACTGATTCTAGTAAAGTCCAATTATAAAAAGCACCAGCTGGATATATACATTGATTTTCTCTCAGTTTACAATCACATTCTGTTTCTTTTGTTTGATTTATTGTCAAATAAACTGCACTAGACGTTGTATAGTCTTTTGAACCAGGTACAGAATAAACAAAATAATTTGTACGTAAAGCAGAGAATAATCCATTCTGCGCTATTAACATTGATACTACTGTAACAGTTCGTTTTTCATTGGTGACAATATTTCGTTGAAAATTCAAAAAAAGAACAGAAGCTATTTCATTAAATTGAGCTCGTGAAAAAATATAACGATGAACTAAAGGAGTAGAATTAAATGTACGATGAATATCATTAACAGATTGACGTGCTAAATGACAAAGTAAACGAAGAGAACGAAAATGAGAAAAAGCAAATGTACGAAAATCTAAAATATTATGAGATGTTGCATTCCAGAGAAATAAAGATGAAATCCATTTTTTTCCAATAAATTCACTTGAACATATTTGATGAAATTGAGGAGAGAAATTCATAAATTTATTAAAAGACATTGATACTTCACTACATGGAATATTAATTGTACTTGGATAAAGTGATTCAAGTCGTTCAAAATCTTTTATAGAAAACTTCTTTAAAGTTACATAATTTGTTTCAATAGATAAACTAGCATAACTAATAACCACGAATAAAGATATTGAAATAAATATAAGAAAAAGTCGAGTACTATAAATTTGCTCGGTTCTAGTTAATATTGGTGACCAACATGGATTATAAGAAAATAAATTTAATTCTCGAATAATACGAATTAAACTTACACGTGCAGCTAATAACATATTTTTAGAAGATGAAGATGGTTCAACTTCATTTGATGATTTATTCATTATTATATTTATTAGAAATGACAGTCAATTTCTCAATATATGATATCTGAAATTAAAAGATCATTCTATCTAAATGATTTATTTATCAATTTTAATCGACTTATCGAGTTAAATTCTGAATCTACATTGAAAATTTTAAAAAATCAGTAAATAATACTTTGATATTTTATTTAAAAATAGATCTTAAGCCGATTAGAATATTGTTTTTTTTTGACATAAATCTTCTATTCAATTAAATTCAGTTAATGCTAGCCACTTCAGATATAAATGACTATGTGTATTTTTCGAATAACTTTTGATATGAACGACATAGGGATGTGCTCTTTTGACCATTGAAAATGCATCGAATCATATATATAGAAAGATTTTATGTAAAACTTCAAAGAAAACAGTATGTTTCAGATGATTACGATATTAATTTATTGATCGATAGAACCGACAAGTGAAGAGCTACAAAAACTATGGAAAGGCTCGATTCCTAACTAATATCAATAACATATTTTAGCCATGCAAGTAATATTTATCAACGAATCTTTCAACAACATAGTTGAGGTATTTCAATAGAAAAATCAATTTTTCAACGTAGGAAAAAAACACAGTTCTTGGAAAACGTTTGACTAAAACCTTCAGAAGAATCATTAGAAAAATCTTTCTATATATGGTTGGATACATTTTCACTTGTTCTTTCAAATGATGAAAACCACAGGTCTGTATTTCATTCATCTCAAAAGTGTTCATTTATCTCTGAAATGGATATTAATTAATCTATCTTTGTTATCACATATTTTAGTTAAAACATATTAAATAAAACTAGTAATTCATATTTATATATAGTAAATTTGTAAAATACATGATTACAAAACTATCACATTAAGGACCCTCCTCCTCAGTAACGAACTTTGCTATTATTCATTCGATTTCAACCAAAATTTCAGAGAATGTTAGTCTTGACTAGAAAAGCTTATGGTTAAAATATATCTCCCAAATCTCAAAGATATGCACAAGTTCTAGTCAAATCATTACCCTTTACGAGGGCAAGGATTTCGCAATAAGAATATGAGCTAACAAGCCCGGGCGATTTTCGAGTTGTAGAGTACCCTTGAGACTAGATCCTCATAGGGCCCGATTTTTGAATTTCCCTTTGTTTGTTTTTTAAAGAAATTTTTTTGTAAAATTCACGAAACCATGCCCAAAAAAGCTGCTAACAAATATGAAGTGTGTCAGTTTTTTATTTCACCAAAAGAGAAATTCAAAAAATCGGGTTCTGTGAGGATCTCGTCCTAACTGCCCTCTATGTACGAAAAACAAATTATCACTTGTTTACTGAGTCATTATTAAAAAATCCTTGCCTGTGTAAACAGTATTCTCGAAAAAATCGATTTTGAGAAGTTTTCGATAATAAGTTCGTCAAAATCAATTCTTTTTTTGATTAACCACAGATAATCTGAAAGACGAGACCCTTAATAGAATTCAATGGAATTATTACATTACAAATCGATGAAATGAACTGATTTTTTTTGGGAATATTAAAAATATATTCATACTCGGTATATATAAAAACAAGACTAAAAGGAATATTCTTTTTTAAAGTAAGTACTATTATTAACTAGGGGTGAGAAGTTATTGTTATTTTTTGTTATTAATAACAATAACAATAACAAAAAAAGTTATTGTTATCAATAACAAATAACAAAAAAAGTTATTGTTATTAATAACAATAACAAAAAATGTTATTTGTTATTAATAACAAAAAAATAACAAATAACTTTTTTTTTCGACAAATCTTAGCTATGCTTTGTTACTATGTAAAAGTATACGAGTTCTATTTGCTCATTATTGTCCAATTGCTGGATGATGTTACTGACCGCAATCTCCATTAGATAGCCTATGAAACTGAGAAAAATCCTAAAAAGATCTTTTCAAGTATCTTGCTTACCTACAGGTAAAATTTACTAATCGGTTTACGAGGAACGATTCCTCAATGTTCGATTGCCTTTGACTTGATGTTTTGGTCAAATAAAAGTCTTTGCGAAATGAGATTCTAGGTGCCATTTTTCGAGTTATGATCTGTACAATCTTTCTAGACATTTTCTCATCCTCCAAAGGCTTATATTTGACCAACGCATCAAGTCAAAGACAATTGAGCATTGAGGAATCGTTCCTCGTAAAGCGATCAGTAAATTTTGCCTATAGATGAGCAAGATACTTGAAAAGATCTTTTTAGGATTTTTCCCAGTTTCATAGGCTATCTAATGGAGATTGCGGTCAGTGACATCATCGAGCAATCCGACAATAATGAGCTAGCAGAACTGGTATACTGTTACATAGTAACAAAGCATAACTAAGATTGTTCGGAAAAAAAGTTATTTGTTATTTTTTTGTTATTAATAACAAATAACTTTTTTTGTTATTTGTTATTGATAACAATAACTTTTTTGTTATTGTTATTAATAACAATAACAATAAATTCACACCCCTATTATTAACTTCAACTCAAACATTTTACTTTTTTTTACAGAATGCAATCAAAAATAATCCGACGTCCGATGAAATAGAGTCAATTTATTTAGCTGTAATATAAATAATAAGTAAGGCTTATCAATGGACTCGCTCATCTCTTTCTCGTAGAAGTACCATTTTTTGACGCTTCTTAAACTATTCACTTCTCTATAAAACGAACAATATCTAGCTCCAGATTGAAATTATTGTATTTGAATTTCCTCTATTGAAGTTTTTTTTTTCTAAATCATGATGACATTAGTATATCTTATCACTCCTTAGCATTTCTAGCTTATCATACGTTCTCATTTTTTATTTGAAAAATCTTTCATAAGTTTTTCTAGAAAAAACACTAATAATAGCAAACCCTAGTAAAAAATCAAAAGAGGCTAGACTCATATTCTGACCCTTCATTTTCCTTTTCGACTTTCATCAAAAATACTTATGATTAACAGTTAAAACAGACTCCAAATTTGAGTTTTCCACTCTCGATCACCTTCGGTGAACTTTTTCCAAAGCACATAAATTATTAATAATTTAGTAATAATGTGTTAATAATTAAAAGTAACCAATGATCCGTTTTCTACACTCTCGATTAGCTTTTCCCTGAAGTTTTATGGAAAGTAAACCCATTCCTGTCTGTTTTATTTCGACCAATTAATTGAAGTGCGGATATACAAACGAGCAAAAAATTTATTCTTGTTAGACTATTCTCTACCAGAAAGACAATAACATGTTTTTTTTTCATTAGAGAATATATCTATCATCGAAATATCTTGCCTCATCTTAATTTTTTCTCGTTGTATTCTATCCTAGGCCATATTGACATTCATGTAATAATTCACCAAATGTTTGTTTTATGGATTTTCATTAAGTTTTGTTCTTCATTTTCATGTCTAATATATTTTTTTTTCGAATTCATTTGTTTGTAAATGTGCATATACATAAGAAAAGAATAAAACATTTGAGAAAACATACGTAGATAGGAGATGAGATAAATCTAGATGATTTTCTCGATATAATCCATATCCATAACACTTTAAATCATGTATCGAAGGAAATTTCAAATCGAATATTATTCACATTTTAAAATATATATTTAATAAATTATATATTTTCACATCGAAATCATTGATGCAGAATCTCCTATAAAAAAATATAATTAAAATTTGTAATATCTTCATTTAGTAAGGCAAACCTCTAGATTTATTAGAAATGTTACACTTCAAATTTCTCCTTATCGCAACGAGATTTCACATCGAAATGTTTCACTGTGATAATTTTTCATAATCGTTAAAAGTAATAATTATCATAAATTTTCATAAGAATAATTGATTCTTCTAATTTCGGATATATCATACCTTTGTTAGTCATTAAAGATTTCTAAGAAATAGATAAATGTCTTCTACAAACTCAAAATTGTAATAAACAAGCGAACTTTTAGAGTTAAATAGTGCATGTAAACATGATTAAGATAAATAGAAACATACAGATTATGTTATTACGTATGGCACATCTGTCAGGTATCGATGCTTTTTCTGACAACTTTAATTTAATAAAAAGATAACTATTTCATTGTTTTAAGGGCCGCCATCCCCCCCTTAGAAAATCGATATTTTTTTTGAAACAAAATTGGCATTGAGTTTTTACTATAGGACTATAGGGTGAAGTTTCATCTTTCAGAATATATGTAGATTTTTGAAAAATGATCAGTTTTTCAAAGATTTGTCAATAAGACTTTAACTTTCCTACCATATTTTTCCAAAAAATTTTTTTAGTCTTTAAGAGATTTTCATTTTTGGAAAAACTCCGTTGGTACTTCAAATATGATTGAATAAAACATTTTAATACTAACTCTCATGTCAAATGGCGTTAGTTTTACTGCATCTTTTACGCATCTTAAAATGGTTTTAAAAAATTCATTGAAAATCTGCCATTTTCATATGAATTTTTTGAATTGGACCGAAGAAAACCATTTCTAAAACTTCTTTGAGGTTTTTCTCAGAATATGATTTCCAATCAGAAAAACTGGATCTCCTCCCTCATTTTTCGAACTATTGCTAATATTGTTTTTTTTTGTTCTATAGGTCTCGATCAGAGTAAACTTTTATCCGAAAGGATTTTTGAAAGTTGACTCCTGGGCTGAGAAAAGTCGAATTTACTATCATTGAGCTACCATTTTTTTATGCTAATTTTAAGATCCTCGCACTAAAATCCTAATAAAAAATCAATTGGATGGAATATGAAATTTCTGTTCGGACCAAAAGTTGCATACTGAAACGTACTTTGATTGGAAATCAACCCGAGCTTTCTGTCTCTTCTTATGATGGAGTTATTCGAATTCTCCTGAAGGCCAAAAATGACGCATGAATCCTGTCTAGTATGACCGATTCGGCTGAAATTTTTACCAGAAGCGTATCTCTTCAAAATTAGTCATTCCTCAAAATTTCAGTTGAAAAAGACTGTCAAAAGTGGAAAGTCATTTCTGAGTGGGGGGGAGG